GCCTGAACCCAGGAGGTGGAGGTTGCGGTGGGCCGAGATCGTGCCATTGCACTCCAGCCTGGGTAACAAGAGCGAAACTCTGTCTCAAAAAAAAAACAACAAAACACAGAGGAAGGAGAGCTTAACTTGAGGGCGGGGTTGGGAGTGTGTGATGGTCACTGAAGGCTTAGCAACACTGTAACCCAACAGCTAATTTTATCAGACACCATTAGGTATTTTGCACTACTAGGTAATAAGACTTTAGAAATGAGTTAGAATTTGCTTTTTAAACATGAGCCAACACTTCAGTTAAAAGGGTAGCTCCTGAGAACTAAAAAAGAAAATAAAAATAATTAACCAAAACCAAGTTTTAAAAGATACAGTCATTAATGGTGTGTGTGTGTATGTGTGTGTGTGTAGAATTCAAGTGGGACCAAAGGTGAAGCTGTTTTCAAGTGGGACCACAGGTGAAGCTGCTGGCTGAGACAGGGCTACCCCTGCTGCAGACACTCTTTAGTAACACTTGCTGAAGCTGCAAGCCAGTGGCAGATGCGTCATGCCCACTGTCTCCAGAGAGGGAAATAGTGGAAAGGCCTGCCACACCCACCCCTACTAAAGGGGCAGACCAAGGGGGTCACTTTTGTTCTGTGTGGCCACAACCAGCTGGATAGGAGGGTAAGGGACACCTCATTCAATACCAGAAACCTCTAAACCTTTGTTGTGGCTCAAAACATTAGGCTGGCTCAGGGCCAGGCGTGGTGGCTCATGCCTGTAATCTCAGCACTTTGGGAGGCCGAGGCGGGTGGATCACAATGTCAAGAGATCAAGATCATCCTGGCCACTATAGTGAAACCCCGTCTCTACTAAAAATACAAAAATTAGCTGGGCCTGGTGGCATACGCCTGTAATCCCAGCAGGATAATCGCTTGAACCCGGGAGGTGGAGATTGCAGTGAGCCAAGATCACGCCACTGCACTCCAGCCTGGAGACAGAGCGAGACTCTGTCTCAAAAAAACAAAACAAAACAAGTTAGGCTGGCTCAATCAGATTTCCCTCTAGGGAGTGTGGAATTGGGAAACTGTAGACCAAATTAGCGAGCACCAAGAACTTACAGAGGTGTGTGCTGCAGAAAGGGGCACTGACTGGTGAGGCTTGGGAATTCGAGACAGTGACAAGGAGGGTGGCAACCACAGTAAACCATGGCCAACAAGGTTATGAAGAAGGGAAGCTGGAAGAAAGAAAGGAAGGCAGCTGGTGGGGAGAGGTAAGGGGGCACATGGGCAGAGAGAGGTAGAGACTCAAAGAGAGACAGACATACAAACAGGTGACTAGCGCCACCTAAATTCCTAAGATTTCCAAGTCCTGGCCACATGCATCCTGTCAATAAATTTCCCCTCACTTTTTGGTAGTATCCTGAATGGTTTGTCTTTTGACACTGTTCACATAAACATGTGTAGCCCCAAACAAGAAGAGAGGAGGGATCAGGAGGCTGGGGTGCCTCCTCCTGGGAACCACGGCCACCAGCTAATGCCCCTTTTATAGCATCTTACTTTGTTGTTTCTCCTTCCAACAACTCGTCTGGATATAATCAATGTAATCCTTTTCTATTGTCTTCTCCAGGTCATTCAGAGAAGCTCCTCTGTAGGCCTTGTCAAAGTTTTTATCTACAAAGTAAGGCACCTGCAGGTTCTGAGTTTCTCTAGAAATGGTGTAGCCCAAGGTCCTGAAACAAGGAGAGAGAGAGAGGCTCATGTGAGCTCGTAATATTTGGGAATATTACTCTTAACGGTAGCCTCGTAGATATCATCATCATCATCATCTGTTCATAGAGCAGAGGCAGATATCATTTTCTAATGTACCCAATACTATTTCCCTTGCAAAGTTGTAAATATAACATTATCATAATTGGTATTACATGAGCACGTTCATACTATGAATTCAGCTTCAGCATAAATGGTGTATTCTCTTAAAGGACTCACCTCTCTTATACTGCTCTCTGTCCTAAAAGGAGAATGCTGAATGCTTTAAAAAACCAATTTTTATGTTGTGTAGGATCTAGTATGGTACCTGACAGAGTAGGCTATTAGAAATGCTGGTTGAATGAACTGATTATGTTATATAGCAAATTATTTACAAAAAAAACAGACACCTCGCACCAACCTAGAAGCAATATTTCAGACATGATAAAAAGTACTTTGCATCTAGCTGCTAAATGAGAACTGCAAGAAACTCAGATAAAAGATTTCAATGATGCTTCAGTGCTAACTCTCTGTGGGTCCAAGGCATCCAATGCTGTCTGGTGCTTGGCAACATTAAGAGTACTGAGCTGATTAAATTCTAACCATAAGGAAGTATAGAAAGGCCCTCAAACTCAAGTTAAAACAATGTGACAGCAATGTGCAAAACCCAAGCTGATTTTCTTCAAACTGGACGAATTATACCTTAAAGGGGCTATATTTTATTTGGCCTTTCCCTGGCCCTCACTTTTGATCCTCTCTACTTAGAGTAAGAGCTGAGGCCATGACTGCTCTCCCCTTATTCTAGGGAGGGGTTTACAGAGCAGGTCCGTGCTCACCCTGCTGGCCTCACAAGAAAGAAAGCTGAAGTACCATATGGAAAAACAAGAACAGTTGGGAAACAGAGGGAATCAGGCCAGTGTGACCCAAGGGCAAAAACCTCTCCCTGAAGGCCAGGCACAGTGGCTCATGAGTGTAATCCCAGCACTTTGGGAGGCTGAGATGGGTGGATTACTTGAGGCCAGGAGTTCAAGACCAGTCCAGCCAACATGATGAAACCCAGTCTCTACTAAAAAATACAAAAATTAGCCAGACATGGTGGTGCACACTTATAATCCCAGCTACTAAGGAGGCTGAGGCAGGAGAATCGCTTGAATCGGGGAGAAAGAGATTTTAGTGAGCCACGATTGCACCACTGCACTCCAGGCTGGGACCCTGGGTGACAGAGCAAGACTGCCTCAAAAACAAAAACAAAAAACCTCTCTCTGAGCCTCAGCTTTACTCTCTGTAAAAGGAAAATACTGGCTGGCACAGTGGCTCACGCCTGTAATCCCAGCACTTTGGGAGGCCGAGGTGGGCAGATCACCTGAGGTCAGGAGTTTGAGACCAGCTGGCCAACATAGTGAAACCCTGTCTCTACTAAAATATAAAAATTAGCCGGGTGTGGTGGCACGCACCACCTATAATCCCAGCTACTCAGGAGGCTGAGGCACAAAAATTGCTTGAACTGGGGAGGTGGAGGTTAAAGTGAGCCCAGATTGCACCACTGCACTCCAGCCTGGGTGACAGAGCAAGACTCTGTCTCAAAAAACAACAACAAAATAAAGGAAAATACTGACTTGGATTGACCTGGAATGACAGTCTTCAGTCTACAGACATCACTCACAAAGACTCTTCCTGTTACATATTGTCTAATAAATTCTACTTTTGAAAGGTTTTTTCCACTAAACTACAATAATGAGTAACAACTTATTATTCACTATTAACAAAAAAGATAATCTAGTGATTCTCAAACTTCGGTGTGGACCAGAATCATCTGGAGAGTTTGTTAAAACTCAGGCCTCTGGTCCCACCCCCAGAGCTTCTAATTCAATAGATATGGAGGGCCCTAGAATTTGCCTTCCTAACATGTTGCCTGTTGATGCTGATGATGGCTGGTCGGGGGACCAAACCTTGGGACTGAATTAACTGAAAGAATTAATTGAGGAAATTTAAAAAAATCCTATCAGAGTTTATAATCTGTATGCCATAGTCATTACAATGAATTTCTATATTTTCAACAAAACAAAGAAATTGAAAATAATCACTTGATCCTAGTTATTAATAGCATGCTCTGAGACCCAGAGGGTCCAGCAATCCTATCAGCAGCTCTATGGTCTTTCTAACTACCATGGTGTGATAATGAGTTCATCTAAACCTTCAATTCTACTGATCCTTCAAAAACCAGTTACTGCTGTTCTGCAGCCGACCAGATGGTGTCACTATAGAACAAAACAATCTATTTCGTGAGGCACACAGGAGACTGCTTCAGTATTTTTGAGTCTCAGCACCATGACTACCCAGCCGTTCCTTTAAACATCAAATCGGTGTTTTCTACAGCAAAGGGTGAAATGAAATGTTAGTAATTTAGCAGCAAAACCTTCAAATCTTTCACCCCCAGACTGTTACTGAGAAAGATTTAGAAATATCAGACTTACGATTTATAGAATAGACTATATGGGGGATTAGTGGCCAGCAGCTGAGTAATGACAGATATAATCACAATCACAAGAACTGGAAGTAGCTGAATAAATGCAGAATATGTAGTCTAAAAAAGAAAACAATACTTGCTGTAAGTGTTCTTCATCAATATAAAGCTTACTGAAAATAAGATAGAGGTCCCAAAGAAAATAACAAGTCACCAACACATTGCCCAGGAGGATCCACAAAGCCCCAGGCTTTTAGGGGAAGGCTCTACTCTCAGCTGAGAAGAACAGGTTGGCCACTCCTAATCAGAAAATTCAAAATTGAAAACGCTCCAAAATCTAAAACTTTGAGTGCCAGCATGAGACTCAAAGGAAATGCTCATTGCTTTTTTTTTTTTTTTTTGAGAAATGGTCTTACTGTGTCACCAGGCTAGAGTACAGAGACACAAACATGGCTCATTACAGCCTTGATCTCCTGGGTTCTGATGATTCTCTTGCCTCAGCCTCCTGAGAAGCTCAGACCACAGGTGCACATCACTGTGTCCAGCTAATTTTTTTTTTTTTTTTGAGATGGAGTTTCACTCTTATTGCCCAGGCTGGAGTGCAATGGTGCGATCTCAGCTCACCACAACCTCCTCCTCCTGGGTTCAAGTGATTCTCCTGCCTCAGCCTCCCCAAAGTAGCTGGGATTACAGGCATGCACCAGCAAAATTTAGCCTGGCTAAATTTTGTATTTTTAGTAGAGACAGGGTTTCTCCATGTTGGTGAGGCTGATCTCAAACTCCTGAACTCAGGTGATCCACCTGCCTTGGCCTCCCAAAGTGCTGGGATTACAGGCATGAGCCACCACGCCCGGCCTAATTTTAAAATTTTGTAGAGACAAGGTTTTGCTATGTTGCCCAGGCTAGTCTTGAACTCCTGGAATTCCTGGGCTCGAGCAATCTTCCTACCCCAGTCTCCCAAAGTGTTAGGATTACAGGTGTGAGCCACCGCACCCAGCTTCAGATTTTCAGATTAGGAATGCTCAGCTGTTTAATGGTATAATGCAAATATTCCAAAATCTAAAAAAAAAAAAAAATCTGAAATCTGAAATACTACTGGTCCCATTTACTTCAGATAAGGGATACTCAGTCTACACCAAATGACCTTCATTCTCTCTGCTGAGCAGGTTGAAGGAGGCCCAACAACAACCTGGATCGACACTCAGTAATCCCCCTGCAGCGCCCATTTATAAGACTAATGAAGCAGACATCTCTAGGTCAATCTGCCCAGACTGTGTCTCTTATAGGAGTGGGGCTCTAGGAGCCAGATTAGCATTATGCAACTCTGTCACTTGGCTACAGCTGGTTGGACTGGGGAGACATCTAACTCTGGCAGAGATAATCACATTTTATCTCCTAGGAATTTGGGGCTGAGACTCATCACCCTTCATTTCTGGGTCATCACTTTAAGGAAGAACACACACTCTCAGGCACTGTAGACTAGCTGTTTGCAAGGAGAAGTAGAATAAGCAAAGCTGCTCTGTGAAAACAAAACAGAGGCAAAGAGTGGCAGGAAAACTGGAGACAATCTGGCCCCAGAGAGTCCCGCAGAGCACAGCTGCTTGGGAGCCTGACAGTTCCTTGTTCCTGTCTGTCATGAGGCCCAGCTGTGCTTCTTGTCCTTTGATCCCTTACCTTAAATCCCCTTTAGTTCTAAATATTTTGAAGAAAGTTCCTATTTTCTGCAGCCAAGAAAACTTTGAGGCCGGCATGGTGGCTCATGCCTTTAATCCCAGCACTTTGGGTGGCCAAAGCGTGAGGATCAGTTGAGCCCAGGAGTTCGAGACCAGCCTGGGAAACATGGTGAAAAAATTAGCTGGGCATGGTGGCACACAACTATAGTCCCAGCTGCATGAGAGGCTGAGGTGGGAGGATTGCTTGAGCCCTGGAGTTCAAGGCTGCAGTGAGCTATGTTTGTGCTATTGTACTCCAGCCTAGGTGACAGTGAGACCCTCTTTCTTTTTTTTTTTTTTTTTTTTTTTTTTTTTTTTTTTTTTTTTTTTTTTTTTTTTTTTTTTTTTTTTTTTTTTTTGAGTTTCGCTCTTGTTACCCAGGCTGGAGTGCAATGGCGCGATCTCGGCTCACCGCAACCTCCGCCTCCTGGGTTCAGGCAATTCTCCTGCCTCAGCCTCCTGAGTCGCTGGGATTACAGGCACGCACCACCATGCCCAGCTAATTTTTTGTATTTTTAGTAGAGACGGGGTTTCACCATGTTGACCAGGATGGTCTCGATCTCTTGACCTTGTGATCCACCCACCTCGGCCTCCCAAAGTGCTGGGATTACAGGCTTGAGCCACCGCGCCCGGCCGAGACCCTCTTTCAAAACAAAAAGAGCCTTGATGAAGTCAGCCCCACAGGGGAGCTGAGACCACCCAAGAATGGGCAGAAGGAGGGGATGCCATTCTGCCTATTTAGGCCAATTATTCAGCTCTTCTCACCATGGCTTTTACTTTCCTAAAGCACATCTTAGCAACATATCTCAAGTTCAGCTACTAAAACTTGACCATGTACCATCAAGGTTGGCCCAGTAAAACTGTTTATGGGCAGCAGCGCTCCACCCTCCCTAGGTACCTGAGGTTTCTCTTCTTCCTCCTCCTTCTGAGTCTGTGTCCTCTCATGTCGGTGCCGTCGGCGGTAATAGTGAGTGTCATCTGTCACATTTGAAAACATATGAATATTTCCTGGAAAAGAAAGAAAAACAAATAATCAATATGGGATATGGCAAATACTCCTTCCTTGCCTTTTTATTTCTTTTTTGGAGACACAGTTTCACTCTGTTATACAGGCTAGAGTACAATGGTGTGATCTCGGCTGACTGCAACCTCCGCCTCCTGGGTTTAAGTGAGTCTCCTGCCTCAGCCTTCTGAGTAGTTGGGATTACAGGCACCTGCCACCACGCCCGGCTAATTTTTTTATTTTTAATGGAGATGGGGTTTCACCATGTTGGCCAGGCTGGTCTCGAACTCCTGACCTCAAGTGATCCACCCACATTGGCCTCCCAAAATGCTGGTATTACAGGCATGAACCACCATGCCCGGCCCTTCCTTGCCTTTTTCAAGGTCCTTGTTCCCAGCTAGGTTTGTTAAGGATAGAGTATTGGCCTATTTTACCCAGTAGAAAAAAAATACAGTAAGCAAGCCAAGTGAACCAGCTGGAGCTAAAGCATGCTGAGCTCTCCTGACTTCATTTAAATAGTCCTTTGCAACTAGTGAGAGAGAACCCCGAAAGGCTAGAAGAGTGAGAGCATTTGGGCCATGAATCCTATTTGGCATGCTCACGTCTGCTTCCGTGCCCAATACCACATTATGTCACTGGTATCTTTTAATAGCAATTCATAAAATTCAATTTACTTCCTGGGCACTGAATTATACCAACTTCCAACTTGCTGGGGGGCACTTTCCAATTTTTTATCTTTGTAAGTGCTATTTTATAATAATAATAATAGGCATTTTGTTACTTATTTATAAGGCACTTAAAAGTATCCAATCGTCACAGTGACCCTGTGAAGTAGGTATTATTAACAGCCCCATTTTTCAGGAGAGGAAACAGGGTCAGAGAGACTAAATGATTGGTTAAAATTATGCACAGTTGGAGGCTGGAGACTTGCCTCAAACTCCTGCTCAACTGATTCCAAATCCTTGCTGTCCCCATCATACCATCATCCCTCTATTCAGATTTTCAAACAGGAGCTTGCTGAGAGCCATAAAGAAAGAAATATTTTAAAGATAATTTTGGGATACTAACCTGTAGGAAAATGTCCTCCAAAGAAGACATTGAATAGCTCTTCTGGAGTGATGTCAGCTTCAAAGTCCCTGTAATAATTATAAGGTCTGGCTCGAGGGGCAGTGAAAGTCACCTGTTCATCTCCATATTCATCATAGCGAAGTCTCTTATCAGGATTGCTCAGGACTGCAAATGCATTTCCTATTGCTGCAACCAACAAGAAGCAGCACATGAGGACACAGTCTGTGCTATGGCTGCCAGTGATCACAGCAGCAGTGATGAAGAGCCAAGAGGTGACTCATGCTGGACAACTTTGCAGGGGCCCAAGGAGAGGTGCTTGGGCCTAGAAAGTTCTCCAAAGTGCTTGCCCTTGAGTTTTTCCCTGATTGCCAGAAACAACAGCACTGGAATCACAGGAATTAAGAACTACTGCTGAAGTGAGAGTTAACTCCCAATCAACAGTCCTGGAGTCATCCCAGCTGTCCTAGAAGTTAGGATCCCCCCACCTCAGTTTTGGTTCCCAATCAGCACAAGTCTCAGACATGTTGGGAAAATGTTCTCCAACTGACCAGCACTCTCATTCATAAAAACTGGCCAGGCACAATGGCTCATGTCTATAAAATGAGGCACTTTGGGAGGTTGCAGTGAGCTGAGATCACATCATTGCACTCCAGGCTGGGCAACAGAGCAAGACTCCGTCTCAAGGAAAAAAAAAACAAAAAACTGTTCTTTACTTAATTTTTTTTTTTAAGAGATGGGATATTGCTACATTGCCCAGACTAGTCTCAGATTCCTGGCCTCAAGTGATCCTCCCATCTTGGCCTCCAAAAGTGTTGGGATTACAGGTGTAAGCCACGGCATCTGGCTAAAAATGTGTTCTTATTTCACTTGAGTGCAATAGTTCATGTTGGAAACAGTTTACCCATCAGTAGTGATATTCTAACTTATTAGTCAGAATAATTTCCTGAATTCTCTCCTGAAACAATCTTTTTTTCTGAGACAGAGTCTCACTCTGTTGCCCAGGCTAGAATGTACTGGCTCAATCTTGGCTCACTGCAACCTCCACCTCCTGGGTTCAAGTCGTTCTCCTGCCTCAGCCTCCCAAGTAGCTGGGACTACAGGCACCCACCACCATGTCCTGCTAATTTTTCTATTTTTAGTAGAGATGGAGTTTCATCATATTGGCCAGGCTGGTCTCAAACTCCTGACCTTGTGATCTGCCCACCAGCCTCCCAAAGTGCTAGGATTACAGGCGTGAGCCACTACGCCCGGCGTCCTGAAACAATCTTAATAAAAATCCTCCTGCATGCTGGGCACGGTGGCTCACACCTGTAATCCCAGCACATTGGGAGGCCGAGGTGGGCAGATCATGAGGTCAGGAGATCAAGACCATCCTGGCCAACATGGTAACACCGTCTCTACTAAAACTACAAAAATTAGCTGGGCAGGGCGGCACACGCCTGTAGTCCCAGCTATTCAGGAGGCTGAGGCAGGGGAATCACTTGGACCAGGGAGTCAGAGGTTGCAGTGAGCCAAGATTGAGCCACTGTACTCCAGCCTGGTGACAGAGCGAGACTCTATCTCAAAAACAAACAAACAAATGAAAACCCGTCTGCTTGATTAAAAACAAAAAGTCTTTGTCATAATCTTATTTCAGTTTTCTTTAGATAATTATTTTAATTATTTTCTGAAATTAAGAAATATATTTCCAATGTCTCAAAAAGGGTTGAAAGGCTGAGTAGTTACATATGTTTACCAGTATGTCTCCTCTCTTTGTACAAATGTGCAAACCTTGCCCAATTTCATTTAAACATAAAATCAGTAGCACCAAACAATAGAAACCTAAAAAAAAAAAAGTCTTTTAAGGCATCCCCAACTCCCTACCTGTAATTCAGTCAACACTGTCATAAACACAGTCAGAAAGAGTATTTCTTTTTTTTTTTTTTTTTTTTTGGGGACGGAGTTTCGCTCTCGTTACCCAGGCTGGAGTGCAATGGTGCGATCTCGGCTCACCGCAACCTCCGCCTCCTGGGTTCAGGCAATTCTCCTGCCTCAGCCTCCTGAGTAGCTGGGATTACAGGCACGCGCCACCATGCCCAGCTAATGTTTTGTATTTTTAGTAGAGACGGGGTTTCACCATGTTGACCAGGATGGTCTCGATCTCTTGACCTCGTGATCCACCCGCCTCAGCCTCCCAAAGTGCTGGGATTACAGGCTTGAACCACTGCGCCCGGCAAGAGTATTTCTTCATGATTCTTTTACCTGAGGAATTGTTAAATGTTTGCCTTGCCACTCTGTTACCCACAACTCTCTTTATATATACATGTATACATATATATTGTAATAAGTATACATTTCTTTTGCTGAACCATTTGAAAGTAGGACACAGATATTATGACACCTTGCCCCTAAATACCTCAACATATATCTCCCAAGAAGAAAGACATTCTCCTGTGTGATCACAACACCATTATCACAGGTAAGAAAATTAACATCAATCCATTATCATCCAATGCACCCATGCAAGATTCAAGTATTGCTTTTAGTTTTGCCTCTTTACTTTCTTTTAATCTAAAACTGTCTCCACCTTTTTTGTTTTTCATTATGTTAATTTTTTTGGAAGGACAGATCAGTATTCTTATAGCCAGGTTTTCCCTGATCGCCAGAAACAACAACACTGGAATCACAGGAATATGTTTCTTTTTGTTTTATTTTCTTTTTTTCCCCACCTGCAACTGTCTTGATTGAGTTATGTTTCATATTCTGATTGTTTCCCCATTATTAGATTTAGGTCAAACATTTTGGCAAGAATACCACATAGGTGACAGCCACCTTGCACTCAATGGTTTTAGCATTCACTGACGATCTTTGCCTGAAACAATGACTTGGAGTGCAGTGGTTCAATCATGGTTCACTGCAGCCTTGATCAAGCAATCCTCCCACCTCAGCCTCCCAAAACAATTTTTTTTGTTTTTATTTTTAGTAGAGACGAGCTCTCACTATGTTGCCCAGGCTGGTCTCAAACTCCTGAGCTCAAGCGATCCTCCTGTCTCGGTCTCTCAAAGTGCTGGGGTTTACAGGTGTGAGCCACCATGCCTGGCCAGGTGAAGCTCTTAAGATTTGTACTCATGTGTTAGGTACAAAATATTTTTAAAGAATATATTTCATCTGAGTCACAGCACCAAAAGAAAATTGAAAAAGTTTTTTAAAAATAAAACTAAAAAGAATATATTTCTTTTTTTATTTTTTTGAGATGGAGTCTCCCTCCCGTCATGCAAGCTGGAGTGTAATGGCATGATCTCAGCTCACTGCAACCTCCACCTCCTGAATTCAAGCGATTTTACTTCCTCAGCCTCCCGAGTAGTTGGGATTACAGGCATGCACCACCACACCCAGCTGGTTATTGTATTTTTAGTAGAGACGAGGTTTTGCCACGTTGGCCAGGCTGGTCTCAAACTCCTGACGTCAGGTGATCCACCCACCTCGACCTCCCAAAGTGTTAGGATTACAGGAATGAGCCACTGCACCTGACCTAAAGAATATATTTCTTAAAATTTCATGGAAGAAAGGCACAGTGGCTCACACCTGTAATCCCAGCACTTTGGAAGGCCTAGGTGGGCAGATTGCTTGAGCTCAGGAGTTTGAGATCAGCTAGTGCAACATGGTAAACCCCATCTCTACAAAAGATGCAAAAATTAGCTGAGCATGGTGGTGCTCACCTGTAGTCCCAGCTACTCAGGAGGCTGAGGTGGGAGGATCACTTGAGCCCAGGGGGCGGAGGTTGCAATGAGCCAAGATGGCGCCACCACACTCCAGCCTGGGTGACAGAGTGAAACCCTGTCTCAAAAAAAAAGAGAGAAAGAAAGAAAGAAAAAGGAAGAAAGGAAAGAAAGAGAAAGAAAGAACAATTAAGGTAAGTGGATAAAATCAAGTGGGAGCTGTGCTCATAATCACTAAGAGGTGTGCAGGGGGAAAACCCCTCCTTATGGCCTCATAAAACAACTATGGGGAAGGCTAAAAACAACTTATTATGACCAACCATGACAAGGGCAGCACTGAGCATTGGTTCCGGATCAGACCTTTGAAAGCATCTGTTGCTCCAGGAGCACAGTTCTTGTCAGGGTGAAATTTCAGGGCGAGTTTTCTGTAAGCTTTCTTAAGCTCTTCATCACTGGCATCTCGAGAAACTCCCAGAATTTCATAGTAATTTCTGCATTTCTTGATCCTAAAAAAAATCGCAAACATGTATGTCTACAAAGGCCCCTTTTGTACAATTAACTGCAAAACAATACATCCATCTTCCCTCCAATCTGTGGGACCCAAAACAAACCTATGAGAAAATTAGTGCAAATGTTAATGAAACATTCACATTTATTAACAATGTCCTTCTCCCACACAGAACTTAATGCCTTTCAGAGTACTTTTACATCTACTATTTATTCTTCCTATATCCCTGCAAGTGAGTAGAACAAGTATGCTAATCCTTACACCAAGGTTCAGGCTAACATCCTGAGAGATGAACCACAGGACAGCAAAGCCAAAAGAAACAGTTAATCTCCCTGTTTGTCTATAATTTTTTCTCTTTTTCCTATGGCTATCTTTTTAAACTGCATTTTTGTTGTTGTTTGTTTGTTTTTGTTTTTTGGTTATTTTTTGAGATGGAGTCTTGCTCTTGTTGCCCAGGCTAGAGTGCAATGGTGCAATCTCGGCTCAATGCAACCGCTGCCTCCCGGGGTCAAGCGATTCACCTCAGCCTCCCAAATAGCTGAGATTACAGGCATGCACCACCATGCCTGGCTAATTTTTTGAATTTTTAGTAGAGATGGTGTTTCTACTAAAACACCATCATGAGGTCAGGAGATCGAGACCAGCCTGACCATCAGGTTAGTCTCAATCTCCTGATCTCACTATCCTCCCACCTTGCTCTCCCAAAATGCTGGGATTACAGGTGTGAGCCACTGTACCTGGCTAAACTGTGTTTTTAAAAAGTTAACATACACATGATAGAAGAAAAAGAGCCAAGAGAACTAAAGTTTATATAGTAAAAATTCTCCTGCTTCATCATTCCCTGTCCCCTAGTATCCCACCACAGGGACAACTATCATTAGAAGTTTTCTGTGGATCCTAGGTAGAGAAAGAATACAGGTATAGTCCTCTTCATTTTTTTTTTTTCCTACCTAAATGGAAACATAATCACCTTTCTACATCTTGCTTTTGTTT